TTAGTGCCCGAAATCCATCCCATCCTTCCAATTTCCCTATGTTAGCTGACTCTTGGCAAAAGTGAATAAAGGAAGAGGTAAAGAGAGAACACTGTACACATTTATTTGTCTTGCAAGTTTGCAGGTAAATTGGAGATGGTTAGCTTGATTGTATAAAATGGGGTAAAAATAAATAAATAAATAAAAAGTACTCACTATATAGAGCGCAATGTCCTAAATGATATTCTTCCATTAGTAATTCAAGGAGATTGGCTTTTTATAATTAACATTAAAAGGCATGTTTAATCATGGAAACCTGGACAATTTTGATGTCCAGTTGTCCTCAATAAGGATCCTTAGGATACATGGAGATCATGAGGTGTTTAGTGGCATGTACTTGGGTCCTCTTCATAAACTCTGTGACAGTTGCAAGGGTAAGACCCACTATTCTTAGGTTCATGTGAATTAAACTGCTGTGGTTGTTGCTGAATTCTGAGAAGAAATGAGGAATGCTTCCAACCACTTTGAAATAACTCTATCATAATCAAGTTACTCCCCAGGAATGGTGCTACAAAATTGTTATGTATTTCATAGTTTCCAGCAATTAGCAATTGAATTATTCTTCTTCTGGTCAAGAATTCTTGGTGGTGTCATTAACTTTAGTGAGAAACATAAAGAACACACTGTAGCAACCAAGCACTGATACACCACTACCATGATAATGTTCATCTTGTACTAAGCACTGATACACCACTACTATAATAATGTTCATCTTGTACTTCCCATTGACTAAGCAATTTTGCTGCATCCAAAACTAAGACATGGGATTGCTTTATTCTAGTACATCCTCATGGAAATAAGCTCTCTTTCAAATCTTTAAAGTGGAATATGGATTTCACCTGCCACCATCTGACTTTACCCATCTTCTGGAGGATATATTTCTTATATTCTGCCAAACCCGCTAGTAATTACACTATAACTTCTTACTATGGGCTGTATTTAGTTGCTCTTTTAATTTCTGAAATATGAAAAACTGGTCAGGATCTTTTCTTCCACCATGATAAATGACAATATAATTTTGTTAAGAGACGGCATTGGCAATCTTGCATGTTCTTCATATGTACCCCAAAACTTAAAATGCAATTAAAAAAAAAAAGACAGCATTGGTTGTTGCATGGTAGACTCCAAGTCTATGAAAATCACTGTACATCTTATCTAACTTAGTTAGAAACTAGAGTGTGGGCCGGGCATGGTGGCTCATGCCTGTAATCCCAGCACTATGGGAGGCCATGGCGGGCAGATCACCTGAGGTCAGGAGTTCGAGACCAGCCTGACCAACATGGAGAAACCCCAACTCTACTAAAAATACAAAATTAGCCAGGCATGGTGGCACATGCTTGTATTCCCAGCTACTCGGGAGGTTGCGGCAGGAGAATCGCTTGAGAGCCAAGATCGTGTCATTGCACTCCAGCCTGGGCAATAAGGGCAAAACATTGTCTCAAAAAAAAAAAAAAAAGAAAAAGAAAGAAACTGGAGTGTGATAAGATGGTACAGCTCTGCAATACAGCACAAGGATTTCATGGGTCATTTCTTTAAAAACCTGTATAATACCTAATGGTGTAAATGAAAATAAGTTTTTGATAATTCATACATTGATCAAATATCCTGGTCTTAGGCATTTATTTAGATGAGTTAGAAAAACCCCAAGTTATTTAGGAGACAGCATCCTTGTGTTCAGTGTTTTCTATTTCACTTGCTTTAAGAACGGGAAAAAAATCCCTCTTATTCTCAGAATGAAGAAGCAGGCTGACTGACAGCAACTTCGATACGCTCCAGGCAAACTACTGAAATACAGAATGGGCTCAGGCTCCCACTTAGTGGTTATGGTTAACAGTTTATCTGAAGTGCCTGAGTGTGAACTTATGACACTTCCTACTTTTCAGCATGGGTGTGTGTGTGTGCCTCTGTCTCTAATAGGATCATCTCACCCTTACCAAAAGGTCCTGTATTAGGGCAGAGGGGTGGGGAGGATGTTTGCGACAGAGTGTCAACACAGTTCTTTGTTGTGAATAAATCCTATCTCCAATTAGAGCAGTATAAACCAGAAAGGAATGTCCTTCCCTACCTTTCAACTGAGAACACAGAACCACAGCAACTAGTGTTCTCACCTTTAAGGAGTTAAGCCTCTGCTTTGAGGGAGAAACTTTTCATGTCACATGGCTCAAAAGTTCATTCAAAATGGGGCTAGACTTTCCTAAATCCTTATCCAAACTATTACAAACTATTGATGTGGCATTAGGTCCTAAAAATACAGACAAATGGGCACTTCAGAGGCTATCTGGCCTGGATACTCCTGAGCCATCAAGGGAATGAGGAAACTTAAAATTCCTGAACTTGAAAGAACAAGACTGTTCCCATGTACTGTTTACAGGGCCATATACCTTTATTCTAAACAAACTAATACACTGTCAAAAATCTGCAGGATTAAGCTTTTCAACTCTTCTTCCTACTGTGGTCTGAGGGTTCCAAGTCTTTTTTTAAACCTCACTGCTAGACTTGGAAGATAGATGGGCTACAAAAGACGATCAGCTAACAGGTAGAAAACAGGAGTGGATGTGAGGCGGTCTCCATAAGAACTATGCCCTTATAAAAACCCTTAAAGACCAACTTACAAAACGTTATTCACTCAGCCTGCTATAATACATTCAAACCAGAACCTTTATTAGTTAAATGTACTAAAACTACATAACATTTTTCACATGGAAGTTGGTTTAACAGTCTGATCACTGATACCCACGAGATCCCTTTTGGGGAGATTCCTTTCCACAGACAACTTGGGGCAGAGAAACTGAAAAGCCTCTGGCAAGGCAAAGGACAAGTTAAGTCAGAGGATACACAGTGACACATGGACTTCTAGACTTGACTATTTCAGTCACCACAGCTTTGATTAAAGATAAACTGGAGGTGGCCCAGCACAATGGCTCATGCCTGTAATCCTAGCACTTTAGGAGGCTGAGGCAGGCAGATCGCTTGAGGTCAGGAGTTCGAGACCAGCCTGGCCAACCAAGTGAAACCCCATCTCTACAAATTCCTCATTCTAGGTTCTAACACTTGGTGACAACGTGGTGGTGGGTGACTGTAATGCCTGCTACTTGGGAGGCTGAGGCAGGAGACCCACTTAAATCCAGGAGGTGGAGGTTGCAGTGAGCGGAGATCACACTGCTGCACTCCAGGCTAGGGTGACAGAGCGAGACTCTGTCTCAAAAAAAACAAAAAAAAGATACACTGTAGTCATAAAACATTTACATACAGTGGATTCTCCTTATTAAAATGGGCCATAGAAGTCTGAATGACTGCTAAGCGACCTGGAAGGTGTGGGAATATCGTGTGCTTTGGATTTGACTTAGGCGCAACTCTCAGAGCGGCGGCTGGCGTAAGCTCAGCCTGGGTCCCACCGTGCTTGCCACACCGCTAAGGACCGACTCTGGGGAGGTACATAAAAAGTAAGTCTTTGTGGATAAAACAGCCATTAAATAAAAGAGGGAACGTTAAGGAAAGCTTCTCAACTTTAGTTAGCTTCAGATGTGAAGACATGAATAGTAAATGGGCAAGATGAGCAAAAATGTGATTTGGCTGAAAGCAGGAACCGCTTCACTTTGGGAATCTTGAGGATCTGGGAGGCACCCCCTGTGAAAATCCACGGTGTGCTTAAGTATATAAACTACCACGCTGAAAATCTGCCATTCTCATCCAAACACCCCTCTGTAATAGCTTTAAAGCTAGGGCATACAGCTCCCAGGTCTACTGGGCATGGGAAAGCCCACATGTGGAGGGAAAGGTCTACTGTGCACACTGGGAATGGCAGAGCCAGCCTGGCCTTCCCCGGGAAATCCGGATCCACAGCGCTCTGCTATCTGTAAGCAAAGAAGTAGGTTCTGAACTTTCCTCAGGCAGAACACCAGACATAAAATGCTGAACAGCCACCAGCTCTATTCTCTCTAATCCTCGCTTTGATGTAAGGTAAGAGGCAGGGGGCAACACCAAATAGAGCGGGCGGTTTATATTTCTCTCACCAGGGCAAATTAATAAAAACAAAACCTAATTTTTCCCTTCTCTTACCCATTCTTACTCCTCTTCAATATTTTTCCTCTTTCTAAGATTCCTTTTTTGTTTGAGAAGCTTAATATTTGGCTGCCTTCTGAAGAAATGGGTATAGTGACAGATGAAAGACTTGTATTCATCGTCTAATTCAGAGTAAGGGGAAAAATCGACTGCTGTGCATTTAAGATTCTAACAACCTTGCAATTTTGTATGGTCGTTTCCCCCACCCGTTCTTTTGAAGAAATCTGCTTTTATTCTGCTAATAACTAACCACAGTTGCAGCAGCATGGATCCGATTAGCAGTTCTTATGATACAAAGGAGAGAAGAAAAAAAGCTGGGAACGGGGTTGCCAATTTGTCCACCTGGGCCCCCAGGAGAAAGATTAGCCGAGGCGCCTGCCGGCTCCCTTTCTTCCACTTGATGGCTGCTCTATGCTGCCGGATAGAGACAGGCCTTTTTCAAGCCAAGGCACTTTCCTTTAATAAAAGTTTCACTCGCCTCCATCCTCTCTTGTCACCAGTTCCTCGTTCTGGTTTGCAATGCTTCGTGACAACTCTGCCTGTAAACATGGGTGGCTGCCTACGAAAGGCGCCACACGCGGATGCTCACTCCCTTGGAGTCGTTTTGCATCTAAAAGAGAATATATCATGTGAACACTTGCTATGCCCTACGGGTATGAGGGACCGTGTTTTCCAGACCAAAAGGTGGTGGCACACGTGGCCAGCCAACGGGCATCTTTACGCTGCTTCTGGATGTGAGAAGGCAGAGGGAAAAAATACCGAGTTTGGGAATTGAATATTGGAATCTGAGGAGAATAACACAGAACCTATAACACTGAGACCAACAGATAAAACACTGGTGCTATATATAGGTGGCATGGTTTCTGTAAATTCTCCATTTAGATATAGAATTAAGTGTCCATTTATGTACTAAAATGATGCGCTTTTTTTAAAGAGTTTAAAAATTCACTGCATTTGTGATTACACTAAGTAATGACAGCTTCTTTTCATGATAAAACTTAAAATCCTTGGTATAAAACTACATTAAAAGTAAAGCAGCAGACAGCTAAAAGCACTATTCTGAAAAACTTAAAACAAAAACCAAAAAAACCCCAAGGCTTCTGAGTGAAATCTCCGGGATCTAAGGGGTATACATCAGCACCTCGTAATGTATTTTTAACAGAAATCAGCACCTGCTTAACTTGCTTCGATATGACAATTCACAGCATGACATATTAATACATTTGGGTGTTTAAATAAGTGCTTTTTCAAGAGAAAAAGAGTTGCACAATGAAACTCGGATTAATCAATAACCAAACTCCTTTTTAACAGTGCTGGGCTTGGGAGGTTGCTGGGGGTTGAGGGAGAGCTGACCTCTCCAGCATGAGGCTAAAACTGCGGGGCCCAGGCGGGAGGCAGCGGACACCCTCAGGGACCTGCAGCTCAGGAGTAAACTCTGACAGAAGCAGTGCCAGCCTGGGCATGGCGAAGCTCTGCATGTTGAGTGCCAGGGGACAGGAGGGCTGTGCAGGCACGGAACCTCTGACTGCAGCAATGTGGAGAGGAAGGTTCTTGAGCACGACCTCAAGTATTCATCACTCCTTTCAGACTGGACTCAATATTTGGCAAGCACACTTGTGAAAGGTATCTGTCACAATGGAGTCGCTTTCAGGACGGAGGAGAAAAGAAAGATCCCATAGAGGGTGAAATGCAAAGGCAGAAAGACGGCTCCAAGCCCACAGGAGAAAGGATATGTAAGTCACCAATTTCCGAACTCTTTTCTCTTGGATTCCCATTTTTCTAAGAGAACTGTGAGCTTTTTAATTTGGCCCACGTGTACTGAACAGCACTACTTGCCAGGCAATGTTCTTAGCACTGGGGACAAAAAGAAGAAAGAGACTCTCAGCCCGCCAGGGGCTCAGGCAGCTGGGGCAGCCCGAGGGAGAGCTGAACTCCAGGCCTGCAGGGGTCAGCAAGGACTTCCTGAAGGGAAAGGCTGTTTAGTGGGGTCTTGATGCATAAGTAGGAGTTTGCTGGGCTGCATAAAGGGTGGGATGGACATTCCAGGCAGAAAGGATAGATATCATTGTTCTTTCATGCAGCTCTAGGGGCAAAGATCTGATACAAAATCACGGTTAGTGGTATAGAAACAGGGAATTCTGAACTAGTTCTTCCAGCTGCTTCTAAGAAAAAGCAACGAGGCCACATTAAAAACAAGCAGCAAAAATATATATACACTGGGGTTTGGCTCTCTTAAAATATGATGCTTTTTTGCCTTTTTTCAAGTAGAATTTAAATGACATGATCCCTGGACTTCACGTGAAATGAACTTAAAGTAACAATTGTGAAATAAGGGAGTCTACTGGTAGCTGAATTGGACTTTAGAATAACAGTAATTTTGTACAATACTTTTTTCTGTGATATTACTTTCAACTGAACCAAATCTAGTTCTAGAAAGGTCAGAAAAAAAAAAAAAAAAAAAAAAAANAAAAAAAAAAAAAAAAAAAACACCGGGCACTAGGCCGCTCTTAAAAAATGAGCTAAACTTTATCCCTAAACTTTTCTGTGAGAAATAGATGTGCTCATAACTGGGAATCAAGCCTCCTTCTGGAACACTGGGCAAGTGCGAAGCTGCCTTGGACACAGGTGCTTTCTTCCATATTCTAGAAAACATTTCTTCTTCCATTTCTTTTTTTACAGTCTCTACATTTTGGGGTACCCCGAGGTTGCCTCAGAAGTCTTCTCGCAGTGATTCTCAGCCATGGCAGCACATAATCACCACTTGGAGTGCTTTAAAAAAGTACTGATGGAATACACTGCGTCAGACCAATGAGGTCAGCATCTCGGGCTGGGCTGGCATCAGGCTTTCCCAGGTGTGCTGTGTGGCATGTGCTGCTGTCCGCTGACCTTCACTCATTCTCTAGGTCAGGACTTCCCAGGCCAGTAGCTTCAGCAGAGCTGAAATGCTCTGGAAATGCAAGTTTCCGGGCTCCACCCCACAACTACTGAATCACAAGCCCTCCAGGTGATGCTGAGGCAGGCTGGGTGCCCAGGGGACCTCATTCTGAACCCTAAAGCCTCACAAACTTATTTTTCCAACCAAAATCCTGCCTGAGTCCTTGTCAAAACCTCCCTTAGGATGCCCAGTGGGAATCTCGAATACAGTGTGTTTAAACCAAACTCTTGATTCCCCATCAAAAACGTGCTCCTCTGTCTTCTTCTATACAGAACCACCATTTTACTAATTCCTTCGGCCAAACACCTTCTGCTGCTACCCCTGTCATGTGTGCATCCAAGTGGCAATCAACCCTCCCCGCGGCTACTGCAGGAGCCTCCGGTGTCCCCACTTCCCCCTTCCCCTGCAGCATACTGTCCACTTAGCAGCCACTGTGAGCCTCCTAAACCCTCAACAGGATCATGCTATTCCCTGCCTTCCCAGCCTTCTAGAAGGTTCACATCACACTTAAACTCCTAAATCACAATCATAACCTACAAAGCCGTTAGCTCCTCTCTAATCTAAGTGCCCACCCTTTCTGCTCCTTCGCCCGTGACCACCATGCTTCAGCTACACTGACTTCCTGGTGTTTGCCGCCCGGCACACTAGCACAAGACTAACTCAGGGCCTTTGGGTTTGCTCCTCTCCCTGCCTGGATATTCTTTCTCAGATGCTCACATGGCTTGCCCCTGCTTTTCCCTCACTTCTCTTGTTCAAGTATCAACTTCTAAGAGAGACATCTTCCCTAACTAGCCACTGCTATCTAAAGAAGTCACTCGATTTTCTCCCGACTAACTGACAATAAAGTATGTAGTCCTTTTTTACGTATTTCCTGTCTTTCCCACTAGAATTTAAGTTTCATGAGGACAGGACCTTTTACAGTTTATGTTCAGTGCATTTACACTTCCTATGCCTGCAGCATAGCATACACTCAGTGCTTCGCTGAATTCATGACAGAAGAGGATGATAAAATAATAAAGGAAGGAAAATGAACAATTGAGCTAGTTGGTGTCCACAGGGTGCATCCAGCAGCCAAAATGCAACATGCCACCTTTCTAAACCATCAAATGAAGTAATATATTTGGCATCCTCAGCAAGGTCACGCTCTTGGCATTCAGTTTTATGCATTTAATGCAGTTTGCAAGTACAAACTCCTATGTCACTTTCTATTTGGAAGGGAGAATATCAACATTAACAATTCCTGGTTATATCATTTATAAACATGCAGATGTGGATTATGAAAGATTAATGCATTTTAGGATTGGTGAAGGCATTCCGTTTGTCTCATGCCGAAACCAATTCTGTTCTTCATTAGTCAGTGACAACCCATATCACCCTGTTATGGAACAGAAATCAAAGGTGCAAGAATTGAGAATAAGTGAAGAAACTGATTAGTAAGAGTCTTAACGGCTATAATCAATCAACACATCATAATAATCCTGGCTCCAGGGTTATCAGGAGATTGGGAAAGAAGCCTAACACTGTCTATAAAATGGATTTGTTCCTTCCACAATGGGTACTTATTCTCTTCTAGGAAACATGGTGATATACCGGAAGTTTGTGAAATCAACTTTAGGGGCATCTTGACTCCAAGTACTATGCATTTTACCACCATTTTCCAAAATGTACTCAAGTGATTTTTGAAACTTTTTACCTCTAGGCTAAAATTAGTTCATAAAAGCTTTCGTACCCCTCCACTCTGCATCCTCCTCCTCAGTGAAGGCAGAAGGCAGCAGGTCAATGCCAACAGCATTTCCGCAGAGGCAGCACATGCAGAGTCCAGATGCAGTGACACTCAGCTGAGCACAGGTTCAGAGCAGGGACAGCCTACTCGGCTCAGGAGTGAGAACAAACAGAGAACAAGGTGTCTGAAGTGCTTCTCCAGCGAACAATGCAAAAAAGTAGTGGAGAGGTGGGAGTGGACCGTCAGACCAACCATGAAAACACATGAGTCATGGCTGAGATTGCCGAGCAAGAGAAAGGCATGTAATATTGCCGTGGTGACACTGGCTTTCTTGTATTTTCATACACAGAAGAATAGAGAAAAGGAATGGATATTAATCAGAGAATTTATACTGAATTATCCAACTTTTTTTTAATTATGAGAGGGAGCAAAACTAAGTAAGAATGTGTATTTGGAGAAATTTCTAGTTTTTTTTTTTTTTTGAGACAGGGTCTCGCTTTGGCACCAGGCGCCAGGCTGGAGTGCAGTGGCGCGATCTCGGCTCACTGCAATCTCCGCCTCCCGGGTTCAAGCAATTCTGCCTCAGCCTCCCGGGTAGCTGGGACTACAGGCACACGTTAACACGCCCAGCTAATTTTTCTGTATTTTTAGTAGAGATGGGGTTCCACCATGTTGGCCAGGATGGTCTTGATCTGTTGACCTTGTGATCCGCCCGTCGTGGCCTCCCAAAGTGCTGGGATTACAGGCGTGAGCCACCATGCCTGGCCAGTATTTTTTAATTTCTGAACATGGGAGAAAGAAGGGGGAAAGGCTTAATTAATTTGTAGTTTGTTGGAATGAAAGATTGAAAAGATTTTTGCTGCTGAAGAAAAGGATACTCATTCCCCATCTATCAGAATACATGATTTGGAAACATGGTGATATACCAGAAGTTTGTGATGTGAAATCAACTTTAGGGTCATCTTGACTCTAAGTACTATGCATTTCTTCTGGAGTGACGTCTGAAGGAGAAGAGTAGCTCAGAACAATGGGACGGTTCTTCAAATGCAAGGCCCGGCCGCCAAACGGCAATGAGGAATCTGGTCTTTACAAATAGCGCTGACAATACTCATGACCCATGGACTCGCTGAGTGTCCATAACCAGGATCTTGGCCTAAATTTTAAAGCCACTATCTTAAAGTGGGAGGTTCTATATCATACTACCAATAACTAAGCCATATAGAGATGCAGCCCCATCTCTCAAAAAGACAAAATAGACAATTTGCTTTCTTCACTATTGCTAAGCAGCATTTGGAAGGGAATGGAAATAGTTTTGTATAACACCCAAATATTTTACTTTGTCAGGGAGAAAAAATGACTGGCGTAAGTTCTCTTTGCTTTGTAGAACTGCTGAATTGGTTTTCCGTGCTGCCACAGATGAAAAACATGGGATATATCAACAGCATTTTGTGTTAATTTTTTTTTTCCTTCTCAGCTCGCCAGTAAGCAGCATGCATCTTCCTTGCAACAAGCTGTTACAGGGTTTCCACCTCCAGAGAAGCCAAAAAGAACATTCGACAGTTATTTTAAAATAAGATTATTAGGTAAGGTGATTATGCAGACTTTGAAATAAAAAATGTGTCAGTAGGCGAAATGCCATTTTAGAGGGTCTACGGCTAATGTTATGAACGGACACTGGCTAAGAGCCATTTACACAGAGAAATAAACTCATGCTTTTTATCCGGAGTTTTATTAGGGCCAAATGAAAAAGTAGAAAGTTTATTTACTTAGGATGGGCTTGGGCCCTAAGAGACCTAAAACTCCAGAGAACACGGGTGAAATGAAAGAGACGCTGGCTTGCATCATCTGTCGTCCATCTGAGAGGCACTAATCTTGACAAATGAGACCAAGAGCTATCATTTCCTCTCACTGGAATCCTTCCTGTTCACTCTGGCCTATGACTAACTCCTAACTGAGATTCATTTTTCTCTTTCCCATTATAGCATCCTTCCAGATTCTGCTTGTTTGAATGTCAAATTAAGCAAGAAAATTAGTTTTTTGACCAGAATATCTTCTTGTTTGTATCTGCAGCTATATAGGCTTGTGGAGAAATCTACTTGCTGACGGGGTAGGACTGGGTGAGCGCGTACACAGAAGAACTCTAAATATACCGCGGTGCTGCCAGAGTTCTTTTCCATATTTAATCGAATACGGGGCGCCCTTTCTAGAACTCATGCTTTTTGTGTCTGAGATTTTTCTGAGGCGCGCAGATTCATCATGCTGGTTGGTATGCTGGAGACATCTCTCACCATCTAGGGATGGCCAGGGTAAAGCGGCAGAGAGTCAGGCTCCACTATGAAGGAGCTGGAGCTTTGTGGCGTAGGAGGATGAGCTCTGGCCAACCCACTTCTTAGGGCTCGACACACCTGTGATCCTTTTCTTTTCTTTTTTTTTTTTTTTTAATATGATTGAAGTGTTTATTTTTTAGTGAAACATTCATATTTTTAGTTATTGAAAACATGAAATTTAGTGTTTCAACGAAATTTTGTGTCATTTTTCTTACTGCAGGCTTAATTTTTTAAATTTTTCAATGCAACCTATTTTGAAACATTTTTTTTTTTTTTGATCCTTTTCAAAGGACAGAGACTGAAGTTATTCGCTGGGTAAGAGCTCACATTAGCAGAGGGGTGCGGGGTACCACATGCTGTGTGCTGTTGTGGGGCTCCTGGAGGCAGCTACCCCAGCGGGAGGCACCTGTGCAGAGGTGATCACTGGGGTAGTGGGGAGCGCTGCGGGCTGGAGAGGGAGGAGGTGAGGGGAGGTAGCAGTAGAAAAAGACGGGAGCTGGGAAGGCGGCTCCTGGAAGGCGAGTGAGATTCCTTCCAATCCAGGCCTCCTGGCTTCACAGTCTGAGCTCTGAAGCTGCCTTGACCCATCCCTCACACCCAGCCAGCCAGCCGGCAGTCTGCTGAGAGGCCAGGCGGCTGGTGAGCAGCCCCAAACAGCAAAGCATGAAATGTCAAAATAAAGGGGGTTCTACTTTCTTACTTGATGCAACTCTATTTTGTTTGTTTCATCTCTATCTAAAGGATGAGGTGGCCTTTAATTAGTCTCACCTAGTACCAGGCAAGAAGAACAACAGCCATGATATAAACAGCTACTCATTATGTGCTAGCATGAAGACCTAATTTTGTATTTTTGATCCTAATCTCTTATGATCGGTGGCCTTCTACTGCCAGATCAAAGTGACTTAACTCTACTTACAATGGACTTGGTACAAATACCAAACGCCTAATGCCAAAAAAAGAATGGGGAAAAGTCTATTCAGGAATTTTCAGTTACTGCCCTTAGATCTTCATTAATAAAACAGATGAACTTAGTTTTATAAACAAGAGTGCCAGCCAGGCTGTGAACAGTTAACACCTACCCTGATGGCGTGCTCCCTCTCCTCAATATTTAAACACTGTCGCTGCTTACAGCACACGGAGGAAAAGCTGACAGAAGCCTTTGGCCAATAAAATGAAAAAAAATTTTAAAGTTTGGCTTATTTACATTTTTGCTTTGTTAGTAAACTGCAATGGCTGGCTCTGGAGGCAAGACGAGTGAAATTAACATCCGCAGAATTTTCTGGCAACAGCAGTGCATTCAGATGCTGTGCTGAGTCAGCTTCCACCATGCATTAGGGGTAATCAGGCCCAGCGTAAGACCGAAGGCCTGTTCAATACATCCAAAACCCAGCAGCCTTCCTTACAGCAAAGGGAAAAACGCTAGGATGTAACCCGAGAAGCAGCGTTTAAGTGCAACGTGATGGGATCATTTACTAAAATACCAGCATAACGTCCAATATCACATATTTCAGAATTAACTGTACCTGACATTACATCTGCTTAATTTAAATATACACTATAGGAATACACACTGCCTATTACAGAGATGGAGCTATTTCATTTCTGTCTCTAAATATAAATACATCAGTATGAAGGAGAGAGAGAATAAGAAAAAAACAAGGAAATTTATAATGGCTCTGAAGGGAACGTATAGCGTCTGTGTTTCTGTTCTCAAATGCTTGTTTAGATTCAATAAGCAGGTCTGAATTCTTTACCTTCTAACTATAGAGAGCTGCAAAAACAAAAAGAATGTGCAAGCAAAAAGAGAGAATCCGTGTGGCTACCTAACATAAAAAAATCTCCATCCTGCTTCTCCAAAGAATGCAGGCGGAAGAGCCCTGCTGAGTCAGGGGTGCGGCACGCAGTGTGGTACCAGGGTATCATGGTAGTGGTTCCCATGATACTCACAATGTTTGTGAGGCAGCAAGATAGGAGGGCAAATCTGCAGTGGGTGGAGGAACATTTTAACAGGCAAGAAACACAATCAGCCATTTGGGATGCTTTACTGGGGTTTGTTTATCTACCTCTGTGATACTTCTCATTAGCTGTCAATTACATTTAGCAGGGTAGAGATGGAGAAAAATGATTGTTCTTTTTCAACAAATCCTAGGAGAGCAACATCAGGAAGAGCCCCCTGCAACATTTTGGCTTCACTTCATCCCAGCTATCAGCTACATAACAGCTGCACATTTTACAATGACTTGCTAGAGAGACAGTGATTGAAAGAGCCAGTCTGTGAGACACGAAGAGGAGGTGGTAAGATACAGGAGGAGGTAACAGGAGAGAACAGGGGTCAGACACAAGTCAGTGCGGAGAATGAGAGGAAGGAAGCGGGGAGGAAGAAAACAAAAGGCTACATGTATAAAAATAAAGGGAAATTCCTAGCAGATACTCAGCAGTTTCAGTATCATGCCTGGGAGAGCACGCCATCTCTGCATGACATGCGCAGTTCACTGGCAGACCCAGAACCAAAGGAAGGTGGACTGTGTATGAGCTTGGGATCTAATGTATAGATCCATGCAATTTAAATACGGGAGAAGGAGGAGGGAAATGGGCCTAATTATTCTCTAAAGGAAGGTGTATTTGCATTTAGGTAAAAGTAAATATGAAACAAAAAGCAAAGACCAGCTTTATGATCAACTCAAAATGTGGTTTTATTACCTATGACCAAGTTCACAGAAATATATAACATAATCCAAGTCGGATAACTCAATATATTTAATATTTCTCAGAGAATAAGGATATGAATCTTAGGGAAATGATTTAAAAAATTAAACAGGACAGGGTGCCTAGGTGGAAAGAAATGAAAATAGAAGACGATCTTTTTTTTTCCCAACAAAAACCTGTCATGAGTTTTGAGTAAATTCCATTAAAACAGCTGCATATAAAATGTTTGACGAACAGTTATCAAAAAAACTGACATGTGAGTGCCCCTAGGCTTAGCTGTGGGAACAGAGAAAAGAGAAATGGGTAATACTGGGACTCAAGCCACGGACTATTCCCCCAAGGTCAAGGTCTGAGAGTAACTTGGCTCCTCTGCATGAATGAGAAAGTGGTGCCCCTTCCCACAGAGGGCAGGTCAACCCCATTCAGACCCCGTGCAATGAGCAACCTGTTGAAGTGTGTACGGCAGCCCCGGCGGGGGCCACTGAACAAAAAGAGCTGCTCACAGTTAGCTGATTGGCCTCCGTGCAGACAAAAAGAGGGAAAATCATCCAGGAATTCATCCTGCACCCACTGTTAACTTTTCTGTGTAGCAGGCAGGCTGTCTAGCATTAATCAATCTGCCTACGATCTGAGTGAAGCGGGGTGAAGTGTCCAGCTCAAATTTTCATGTGTAGAGACACCAGTAAAAACTCTGTTAATCTCTGGGGTACAGTCATTTCTATCTCTTATTTTCTGGTCTTCACCTTAACCTTCTCAGACCCAACCCCCAAGAAGAGCAACATGGACCTTTTTATTTTTTTTCCTAGAAGAAAGAACTGAGTTCAACTTTGTGAAAATGCATTATGCTTCCGTGGCTAGCTCTAAACTACCTCCGCAAACACAAGTCACCAGAGGGGACATACATGTCTTCTGAATTGCGTAAAAACACCACTGGCTTAAGAACCAGAAGACCTGCTGCCTAAATCAGCTGTACAGCTCTGGACAGTAATTGTCGCAGACAGGTCCCCAGGTCTCAGTTTGAATAAGATCCATAATGGAGAACGTAACAATTGCAAGAATCAGCAAGCACTGGGTGTTCGCCATGTATCTCATGTGCAGTGACACGTTTCATCTCTGCATTTCCCCTATGAGGTGGGGTTATCATCTATACAGATGCAGAAACTGAAGCACAGAAAGGCTTAGAAGCTTCTTCAAGGTTATGTGGCTAGTATCAGACAATTATGAAAGTCCATTCAGTTCAAATGTTTGTAATTCCACTTGGGAGAAAGGCGAATGCCCAAATTGCTTATCAGATTTTCTAAGAGGCGACTCCATGGAGAATACACTAAGAAATGTTCTGCTTGTCATATTTATATAATCTGATCCCACGTAGCTTCACACTTAGCAAAGACAGCTAAGAATTTACTTGAAGAATATGCCACCAAAAAAAGGTGGAGCTTTTGCTGCCTAATTTCTTCCCGGTACTAAATGTCATTGACTAGCTTTACCAAGCATCATATAGATGTTGGCTACAGAGGGGCTGACTTGTAAAAGAACAGTGAAGCAATATGGCGGTTAGCGTTTCTGACACAAGTTTAAAAAACAATCTATACACTTTAAATGACATATCCAAGAAAGTGGAAAGTTTTCTATGAAAAAAGGAGTTAGCAGGCAGAAATGGTAGTAAGGTCCTTGTTCTCTCTGTCTGCACACATCTGCAGTTACTGTGAAGAATGACCATCATTCATCAATGATAGACTGGATAAAGAAAATATGGCACATATATACCGTGGAATACTATGCAGCCATAAAAAAGGATGAGTTCATATCCTGTGCAGGGACATGGATGAAGCTGGAAACCATCATTCTCAGCAAACTGACACAAACACAGAAAACCAAACACCTCATGTTCTCACTCCTAAGTGGGTGTTGAACAATGAGAACACATGGACACAGGGAAGGGAATATCACACACCTGGGCCTGTTGGGGGTGGTGGGGAGCTAGAGGAGGGATAGCAGGGAGTGGGAGGGGTAGGGGAGGGATAGCATTAGGAGAAATACTAACGCAGATGACAGGGGGATGGATGCAGCAAACCACCATAGCACGTGTATACCTGTGTAACGAACCTGCATGTTTTGCACATGTATCCCAGAACTTAAAGTATAATAAAAATTAAACTAAATTAAAAAATAAAAAAAGAATGGGCATCCTTTGTGATGGTGTATAGCCCACTTACCAGCTTTTACCCTGTGCAAACCAACTAAACCACAGACTCTGAGGCCAGTTAAATTTGCTGAGCCACCTTCTCTGTAAAATACTATATAATTTAATATGATACCATACCCACGATCACATGCCCAAATTAGCTCTTCTGTTCAGTTTTATGTTCTTTATCGCATCAAAATCAAAACAATGAAAATACAAGTTTAGAAATCCCCATTTGAAATGACAGACATGTATGACAATCTTCAGATAGTTAACTACTCATCAGGAACTTAAAATTTAGATTGATCATATCTTTATACCTCAAGAAAGTTTTCATTTGGGTTTTTACAAAAAGCCCTTCTGACTCAACTTAGAATGAAAGAGTGAGCTCTTTGAATAATGCAGTTTTACATATAACTTTACAACATTTAGGTAGGTGACACCTTAAAAACCATCTCAACATCAAAAACTGTCTTAAAAATTCTGGACTATAGAGAATTCACAGCTTTAAAAAGTCGAAAGCAGCAGGTAAGTCCAGGTTTTATCATAACCACTATGAGGACAAATATTTTTGAAAGAAAGGTAACATCAAAATGCCTTAATCAAAACGCACTGAGCGTACACCTATGTCAAATTACAGATGAATCTTAGAAACATAACGTTTAGTTTACAAAACCAAATTGTAGCATACACTATGAGTGGGGCGATCACATTATCTGATCCGCCCAAGACCTTCTGGTTTATGCTTCTGTCCTACCGTAACTGTTAATAGCAGCCCTTTGCATGCACAAAAGTGTCTCAACTTGGATGATAAATTATAGTCATTCCAAATATAATACATTTCTATAAAGCTAAAAACTAAATAAAACTAACAAATAAATACTCTATGAATGTTTGTAATAAAATTCTTACAAAAAAACTCCCAAAAACCAACAAACCAAAAGAACAATTTTTTAAAAAAGGTTCAAAGGATATTTGAAGCAAGGGAGAGGTATAGAGCTTGAGATCAGGAAGGAATAAACAGGTAGATACAACAGCACTGAATGTACAGGTAGATACTACAATTCTTAAACCGGATGGTGAGTTCATGAATATTCATTTGATAGCTATGTTTTATAATTAGTGTGCTATATATGTTCTTTTATTTAGA